CTGGCAAATCCAGAGTCCCCCCCTGTTCACCTTTAGGTGAGCTCACCTCATGATGACAATAAACCTCGTTATAGGCAGGTCTTGGTGAATTTAATGCTGTAGTGCCCTTCAGTGCGAACAGAGGGGTCTTTCTATAAAGAGAAGAGGCTATGTATACTGAGCTATAAAGAGGCTGAAAATAAACACTTAAGTGAAAAACTTTAATCTCAGGAAGGAAAAGTTGCCAGCACTATGGAAAGTAAGTACAGAAATAAGCAATCCAGTACAAAATCATACAGTTCAAGGTTGGGCTTTTATTTAAGGCAAAATATAATCACAGCTTTAAGATTCATAATATGGATATACACAGAGGTTGTTCTGCCACTATGAAGCTTAGTCTTCTCACGGCTGTTAAAAAGCTATAAAATCTAGTTTCTATAATAATTTGCAATAAAAAACTAATACAATAAACACATTTGAAAGATCACAGTGTTTAAAACATTAGAAGAGCAGGGGTCCTCGTTTTAAACAATAAGGTGCATTTCTAAGAATCAGATCAATCTTGATTCTAAGGGTCTGTATCATATTATGGCTGTGAATCGCTATTACATTGAGAAACCAATCTAAGGTGCAGCATATACTCAAGAAATGAACACCACATGTTGGAATATATTGAATAATCAAGTGTCACCAGCACAAGCTAAACGTGAAATAATGCTATTTAAGTTCCCTGTACTTTTTGTTGGCATTGGCGTTCATGTATGTTGGGGGAAAATGGGTATAAAACTGCTATCAAATAGGGTCCTGCACATGCAAACACCTGTGCTTTCCTCTTACTAGATGAACAACCCTTACTAATTCCATGGGACTCATGTAAAGGAAAGCTTGTATGCTTAGGGGCCAGAACAATGTAGTTTTGCCCTTATTTCACACATGTGGAAGGACCTATCCTTGCCTGCCTGAAATCAAGTGAAGATTCACCACTGGCATCAACAGGTGGCATATCAGGCCCTTAGAATGGGCACAGGAGGCCAAATCAGCATTGAAAGCAGAATACTGTTACAGGAAAACTTATGTGTGTGGTCATGGTAATGAAGACAGAAGCAGAGTTAAATTTGTGGTCATACAGCTTTCTCTTCTATATGAAGTAAAAATAAATTCTTGAATAGGATTTGTTTTCTCTTCATTATGGGATATAATTGACGTCAGGACTTCTACGTAAAATTTTCTGGGGAGTATGCATGTGCTCATGCAGTGCTGTTGCTGAATATCACTGTATTATAATTTTTATCCAAATGCCATTATAGCACTAGACAGAATGAGTTTTTAATTAGTTTTCTGTCATTCTAGTTGGTATTGCTGTACTTGAGTTATGCAATGAATGAAGTCAAGGGACCTTCTTGTAAGTATTAAAAATAAATATGGATCTATGTATTTTGAAGCAGATTGCTATTTATAAATTGAATTTTTCAGAGCATGATGTAAATACTTTAAATATATACGGTACAGGACCAGCAGTGACATCAGTGACAGGACTAATTAGTTAAGAGGTTTAGTAACTCACAGGCCTAGGTCAAGAAATTGGTGCATGTTGGCTTCTTGGATCTATTTTTTTAAACTGCCTAAACATGAGTAGAGTACATCACTTTCATTAAATGACTGGAGTAGGCAGTAGGTTCAGCTACAGGCAGACAGTAGGTTCCTTCACAGGCAGACTCTTCAGCATATGATGACTTTGCAATAATGGCAATGAAGCGCTGTTCAAGGCAGCAAAAAAACCTATGCAGTGCACACTGTACCACTGTCTGTGCAATGAAGTGAACTGTGCTCTTCTCTTGGAAAATGCCTATTCACATCCCTAAATTGCTGTATTGGTTTTTTAGGCCCTGAGCATTTTTCGCTGATGACTTTGAGTATGTTCCCTCAGTAGTGCGATTTTTGGTCATTTTCTCATTTCTTTTCTATTTAGCTTTCTGCTTACTTCTTAGGCCAGGACATTTATATAAACTGAAACCTTTCATAGAGCAATCTACGCTGTGCTCTTCGCCAGCAATTGCTCATCAGTGTAGTTCTTCATAGGAAGATTACTCTTTAAAACCTACAGGGAAATTCTTATTCTGATATACCAATCTTCATACAGATTAGAATATGCACTCCTGCCAGTGAATATTCAAAGTATGTAGATTACCGCACCTAAGATTTACTTAGCAGACCTCAGAGGTACAGTGTCTATGGATCTTACAGGTTTGAGTAACAAGGTTATATTCTCAAAATGCATGCATATGCAAAAATAGGTCATTGTTTGCATAAAACATGCAATATGTTGGCAGATGCTATAACTCTATATGCAGGTAACTGTAAGAATAAAAATTTGACTGCTTATGAAAGTTTCCACTTGCACATATTGCACCTCTATGTTTCTCAATATATCAGATACCTACATTAGTTGTTTTTTTTCACAGTATTTTAAAAATACTAATCAGTATTCTTATCACACTCTCTACATGTCCATACAATTATTATTAGAACATTAAAGTGGCATTACTTAATTTCACAAAGTGGCAAAAAGGGTAACCACTTTACTTGCATTCATTTGTGCATATTTCCCAGAACTATTTAAATGTGTATTTTGGGATGTGTAGCCATTTCACTTGGTTTTGACTGTTTTCATACAACTGAGATACTAGCGAACTGAACATGTTCCTTGGAAAGTCTATGTTGTATTTAATGATGTAAAACATCAGTAGCAGTTGCTAAACAATATAATGTTTTTTTTTCCTTGGCAGGTGGGAAATGGCAAAGCCAGTGAGAAGAGACCACCTGGGAGTGTAAGATAATGTAATGCAAGTAAGTGGAACATCCCTCAAGCAAAATTAATCAATCTTATTTTCAAGAACAAAGGATCTGGGCTGCTGCTTCAGCCTTCTGAAGTTATTCATAGGTTGGGAAATAAAGGCAGGGAAACTGAAAGAAACAATAATGCAAACAAAGCAGAAATTGAAAGCAGTGGCACAAAATGAATATGTTCTCATACTGAGAAGTTGTAAGTAGCAGGAAAACATTAAGATATATTTATGAGAAGTGTACTGTTGATGAAACTTATTGCATCTGGCTCCATAAATCCTGAAATCACTAAATCTGGACATACAGATCTAGTTTCCCTCAAAATTATTCCATGACAGTAACCTGTGGATGACCTACCAAAAATCATGAATAGTATATAGCTCCTCAAACTGATTTGTAGTCTACAGCTTTACTCACAAACAGCACCACACAAACACAGGTACATCACAAATAAGCACCAATACCCACAGAATGCATACTCTTTGCATTAACAGTGTAATCAGAAATAGTAGTATATCACTTAAATTCCTATTGCCTACACTTAATAAACTAAACAGTCAAGAAACTGATGTGCAAATGTGATGTAGGAACTTGTGTTTACACTTTGAAAGAGGCTTCTTGAGTTTCTGGTAATGCAGTCTTTTGTCACAGCACCATGGCAGAATCTGTACAGGAATACACTTTTGAAATCTATGGATGGAACATTCACAACCTCCCTGGGCAACCTGTTCCAGTGCCTTACCACCCTAACAGGAAAGAATTTCCTCATTTCCTCCTTATATCCAATCTAAACTTCCCCTGTTTAAGTTTTAACCCATTACCCCTTGTCCTGTCACTACTATCCCTAATGAAGAGTCCATCCCCAGCATCCCTATATGCCCCCTTCAGATACTGTAAGGCTGCTAGGAGGTCTCCACGCAGCCTTCTCCAAGCTGAAGAGTCCCAACTTTCTCAGCCTATCTTCATACGGGAGGTACTCCAGTCCCCTGATCATTCTCATGGCCCTCCTCTGGAGTTGTTCCAACAGATCCATGTCCTTTTTATGTTGAGGACACCAGAACTGTACACAATACTCCAAGTGAGGTCTCACGAGAGCAGAATAAAGGGGCAGGATCACCTCCTTCGACCTGCTGGTCACGCTCCTTTTGATGCAGCATCCTGCTGACAATGTCTAATAAAGGTTGATCGATTTCTCAAAGCAGTAAAGAGGGAACACAAAGGACCTGATGTTTTTTTATTGCACTGAAAAGTGCTGATGGCTCTGCTCAGGTTGCTTTCCTGTCAGTGTCTTAAAGGTTGCAATAGCATGTATGGTACAGCATGCATAGTATACAAAGGAAAAAAAGCAGGTAGACAATTAAGAGGAGGAAGAGGATGGAAAAAAACCTGCTCATTTAATGACTGGCATTTTCAGAAGAGCCCTGGGGTATGTTTACACTGTGCTCAGCAGCTGTGGCTACAGCATGTCTAATAGCCACCTTAACCCAGTTAGGTCAGGTGAGAAAAGCCATGAAGCTCAAACTGCCATGTCTGATGAAACAGATGAATAATTATGTTCCAAGATTTTTACAAGTTGTATCCCATGAGAATTGATATTTATGTTACTGTAACTGATCTTAATTATCAGCAAACAAAGTTTGCATGCTGCCCTTGATGAAGTCAGTGCTGAACTTGCATGACTTACAGATGTGTTTAGGACCTAAATTTTGAAAACTGGGTGGTTGCATGGGTTTTCTCATTGCTGAATGGATTAACCCAGGTACTAATTACCCAGGTAATTATTTTCTTTCTCAAATGAAGCCAAGTACATGGCTTCATATATGAAGCATGGTTGCAGGTACAGAAGATTTGTTTGGTGTGCGCTGTTGGAATACAACACAGAGCAGATTATAGTCTCATATGAATGTAAATCAGAAACTTTCTACAAAGAGACACAGAGGGGAAACCACTAGAAAACTGACACCGAGTTTTTAATGTATATTTCCTACCATTTATGAAGAATTACATTAAAAGATAAACGGAAACATGGCCATTGGAAGTTAAGCATAATAAAATTTGAGTGATTTCATGTACTGTTATAATGGTAAATTTTAACGTGTATGTGGTATATGTTACAGTATCAGCATTAATGACTTGGTCAAGATCTAAGTTACTGTGCTGATTTATTGTGCTCTAGGTTTACTGAGGTTTTGGCAAAGATTTTCTTCAAGCATTTCCTGAGAAATAACTAACTGGACACAATTAAATGTCGTGGCCCACTGATAATTAAAATGTAAGCACCGAGTACAAAATCAAAAGGTCATGATTACTGTTCTGATATATGTAGATTGTGTTAAGGCTTAAGTCTGGAGTTGGTTGTGTTTTTTGAGGGTGTAGTTATCAAAATGCTAGATGTTTTTGGTTTATGCTTGTATCTCTAAATAAAAGGATTGCCAATATACGCAGATTGCAACAGCTTGAGTTTAGATCATGGCAAAAGCTAGTTCTCTGTATTACAATAAGATAGGATACGGTTACAGTAGCTATTGAAATGCTATAGCACAAATGCTGTTTCTTACATGTTTTAGCTGAGTGACATTACCTCCCAATAAAAATTGAGACTGAAAAGCTATTTAGCACAGGGGAAAAGTGAATAGGCCCAGTTTTACCTTCCTTAAACATTTCTTTAAAACGATTCATGTTATGAAATATATGAGACACATGCATTACAGGAAGCAACTAGATAAAAATCCTAATGGGTTTACAGTCTCCACTACTGACAATTGACTTTGATCTAACAGGAGCACTGCAGCAGGGCTGGGCAGAGGACATGCGCATCTCCACTGACTTTTTGATTTAGCCTCACATGTATACCTCCCTGTGAAATTGTCGGGGTTTGGATACCTGCTGTACTGGTCACTGGGGCTGGTGTAGCTCCTATGTGTACACATCTCACTGCTCAGAGTAACAAAGTGACATCAACGGCTTGCTTAGAAGACCTTTTATCTCACAATTATGTAAACACATAGCAACTCTACATTGAATTTTAACATTTCCATTCACCAAAAAATCCCATAGTTCTTGACAAACTGATACTGAGCTGCATTGCTTTATTCACTAATGAAATATGGTTACTTCTTTGACTAACTAATTAGAGCTGCACAGTGCAAGACAAAACAGAAGTTGTAATCTGCAGCTCATAATAATGCAAGACATTAAAATAAGTGGCAAGATTAGGAATGAGATTACTCTATTAAAATGTGGAAGGATTGTCAGACCTGGCTCCAACGTACAGCCTGATCAAGGAATACCAAAATTAAATGGGAACTTTATCCACTAGCCATCAAAAATAAAAGAATTGTAATATTCTCCAGCTGAGAATGCAAGAAGAGAGACTGCATTGTTTGGCAGTGCATGCATGATACATTTTTCACCCTAATTCCACCTTTCGACATTCTGGTCTTCCCAATCTGTCTTTAAAGGTAATTGCATTACATTATTCCCATAAAAATAAATAAATAAATATTAAATATACTTTAAATATGGATATTGATTTTATAGGTTTTAGTACAAACCTATGTTAGTGTTTTCTTTAGTTTACAAGTACCATGTCATATATATAATACATATAAAACAGCATATAATTGCAACATTAAGTGCTAGTGCAACTAGTATTGAGCAACCCATTTATTTCCATAGCTGCAAATCATTTGGGCATACACATTATTTGGTTGATCAGGAAAAGAAGAAAATTTGAAATTCATTATCGGGGGTTTTAAGACCAGTATGCCACCCAAGCTTTGCATTCAGTTTGCAGGATTGTAGTGAACAATTCATCAGGGAAAACAGATTTTCCATTCTCTAAAATATGTATGTTATTGATCAGGAATGCCGTTGTAAGTAATTAATTTTTAAAGGATTTTTTTTATACCACTGAACAATACTTATCTAGTAATGTTGTACCATGAAAAAAGCATCTGCCTGTTGTATCTTTGCTATAGAACTTTTCAATCCAAGTCTTTTCAATGGCTCCATTCATCTTCCCTGTGACAGGGAAAGTATTGACAAAAGTGACACAGTGAATCAGTTAGGAGACCAGCTCCTCATGGTAGACTGAGCTCTGAAAGGAAGGGTCACATTAAGTTCTCATTTACACACATGAAACCCCACTAGCTAAAATGAACCTGTGAAACTGCAGGCTAAATATACAGCTATCTACATAAACATCATTATACGCACATGAAGACAAAAGAGCTCCAGGATACAAGTATTTCTAATACATGTTACTAGAACTAGTAGATGTGGTTTAGGTAAAAAATCCCAGATTTTGCCTTTGTGCAGTGTAGTGACATGTCTATGACACCCTCTCCAATAAGTGCATTGCTGCATGAAGTTTTTTGCAAGTCTCTTTTTAAAACCTATTGGATGCATCACTGTTTCTTCTTTGCATATCCCTGTAATCCTAGCTCGCCTTTTTTTTTTTTTTTTAAACCCAGCATAACCACCAAGTTAAGAGTTTGAGAATGCCCTTTTCTCTCTCACTTGAGTAATTAGATTTTGCTTGTTACTACAGTGAAATATTTACCACATCAGATTCAGTCACTTCCCCCCCCCCCCTTTTTTTTTTTCACTATCCTATTTTTTTTGACCACACACTTCCCTCCCAAAACCCCAGTGTAGTTTCTTTTTCACCTGACTCCCAGCTATGTTAAGGCTAGCATTAGTGGTACCACTGGCTTGTTTTGTAATAGCCTGTCTTGACAAATAAGTGAAACTGCAGGTGTCCTCTCCCATCCTCACCAGGATGTGGCCCTCAAGAATGTTGCTCTCTAGACAAAGACACTGAAGAGAGGAAACTCGGCTTGGTTGGGTTGCAGCAAGTCAGTCAGGAAACACACAGTTCCTGAGAAACCTTCATACAGACTATATACACTTTCTAATGCCCGGGAACCAGCCTTAAATTCTTCTGTAAACAAGAATTCTGCAAACCTGGGAGAAAAAGAAAAAAAAAAGGTTTGTTACTATTTGATGTCCCTCTAAGTCTACTTACTTGTTGCTTGAAAGCATCATTTTAATAACATTCAATGATTAAAAAAAATAGAATGTTTGTTGATTAATCTTATCTGCAAATTTTACACTATCCAATTTCCACATGAAACAGATCTAGAAGAGACAAACTTTTTCAATCTGTATGTGTGCTATGCTTGTTTAAGAGCTATAAGCTTTTTCTGATTTCTGTAAGATATCCTTAAACACACTTGTATATAACTTTTATCTCAATTGTTACTTCAGCAGGATGCAAGCAGCGTTTCACATTGATGCACTAAATTCTGTAATGCTAAAATAACTACACAAATAAGATGTTCTCACTTCAGAGCAGACGGCTGAAAATAAGTCACCCTAATTATTATACTACTTCCCCTCATTAGTCTATGTTGTCAGTAACAAACATTGAATACTGTAAGTTGCAGAAAGACAAATATAATTGCAGCACTGTGACAGAATTTTCAGTGGACCATACTTGCTTGCATCAGAACAAAATGGAATTAGCCCCACTAGCTAAGCTGAACAGCAGAATATCAAACTGGCTATAGGAATGATAAATTCAAAAACTGTAAAGTAACAGCAAAGCAGCTCCTATACTTATTTTCCACTTCTAGTAGTAAGGAATAGCGTTAAATGTTCTGAAAATCGTAAAAAATCACATTTTGCTCTCCTGGACACAAGCACACAACCTGGCTGCTTTCTGACCTTATGTCAGAATGAGACCTGGATGCACACCACTGCTACCTATCTACCCCAGTTCCCTTCAAAGGAGCACAGGCTCTCAGGAAGGGAGGGAGGGAGCCCCAGGAGAACCTGTTGCTTCTCCTGCCACAGGCAGCCTGGAGGCAGGACTGCAGGGCTCTCTGCAGAGTGTGCCTGCTCCACAGCTCATAAGTAGAATTGAACCTGAGGCTTAAACATTCAGGTTACATCTAAGGGTGGTGATCAAAGTCTCTGCACAGCTTTATAAATGTTCCTGAAACTTTGCAGTGTTACCCTGAATCCAAAAAGGTTGGAATTCTAACCTTTGTGCCCTGTATATGTATTTTGAGTTTCCAGTGAGCCTATAGAGCAGCAGGAACACGTAAGCACTACCAGCCACTCCATGACATATTCCAGGTCCCTTCTTCAACAGGCCTTTCTGCCAAGTTAGCTCTCCACAGCGGATACAAGTGTCCAGATATTGAGGCTTCTTGGAAACCAGGTAAGCTTTGGCAAACAGGTATGCAATGCCTAGGAAAATAGCAGTGAGATTGTCTTTTGTAACAAGTAGGCCAAGAGTTTCATAGAACACATAAGAAAACAAAGATTAATATACTTAAAAACTGCAGTCTCAGGCTTTGCACTTGTCAGTGTTACATATCTATTTGCTACATATGGAAGGGAGAATATCTGCTATGGTAAAAGCATATGAGCATATGTTAAGATGTACCTATCCACCCCATGTGACACAACCATCTTCAATCTTTTCAATGCATTACTGAATTTCAGGGTTTACTCTAACATTCCCAGTCTTCTAACAATTTAGAACAGTAGTTATATTTTTGCCTTTAATACAGTAAACTCTTAGTGCTATCTTCTATTGGTCTCAAATCTCCATACACCTTACCTACTTACACTGACACAAGGATGGGCAAGATAATTTCTTACACTGGTAACAGATAATTTATCAAATGATAAAAAGAAACTTGCCTTTTTTTTTTTTTTTTTAAAGTGGAGCCCATGCTGCTTTATTCTAGTTATAAATAGTTACACATACTAACTTCTGTTAAAAAAAAAGGCAAAACAAAGCACCAACCAAACAACTTGGCTTATTTTTAGAAGGGATTTGAATAAATTAACTATAATTTCTAACAGAGCACTGCACAGCTCAGTTCATGGTAACCTTCAAAGAATGCATAAGACACATAACCAAATCAAGCGCCTAAGGAAATGTTTAGAACAGCTTACTTGTGGTCTGAATATAATATACACTGAAGTAGCTGAAAAGTGTTCTTGTAAGCTACATGTGTATTATTACCCAAAACCAGTGATAGGATACAGGATCTTCTGGGGAAAAATTATACTGCATGTCTCCAAATGTCTCCTAAAGTAACTTCTTTATGTGCTTTAGGATTTTGTCTCTTTGGGCAAGTCTCACTGCATACATCTCCACTAACAGTTAAACCCAAGTCAAAAACTACTCTTAAGACGCTGAAACAAAGAGGGCATCTTCCCTGCAGCCTCCATCATTAGGCCAGCCAAGCTGCAGGAGTACATTTTTTCCTTTTAAAGGTAAAAAAGTTTGTTAAACAAAAGCTGGCTTTACTTCATTAGAGTGTGGGAGCAAGAAGTTTGTTCCTTAACCATAACAGCAAAAAGATAAAGCATAAGCAGAAAGCACATTTAGGGGATGTTAATTATAATGTACTTTTTGTAATTTAAATATAACACCTTTAAAAGCAATGTATCAGTATTCACAGACATTCTTTAATAAAAGTAAGGTTTTTTGTAACCTTGCAGGTTCATATTATCAAGCCAACATGTCTAGTTAGCAACAAAATTTTGCCTGGGGGTAAAAAGGCTATTTCAATATATAGCATTACTTATTAAAATTGCTAAGGTATAGGATTAGATTCTGAACTGACAGACATAAGCCTTACCTCACGAACCCAAACTAAGGATTGATGCTCTTTACACAGTATCACAGTATCAGAGTATGTTAGAGATTGGAAGGGACCTCAAAAGATCATCTAGTCCAATCCCCCTGCCGGAGCAGGAACACCTAGATAAGGTTACACAGGAACGTGTCCAGGCGGGTTTTGAATGTCTCCAAAGAAGGAGATTCCACAACCTCCCTGGGCAGCCTGTTCCAGTGTTCTGTCACCCTCACTGAGAAGAAGTTTCTTCTCAGGTTTAAGTGGAACCTCTTGTGCTCCAATTTGTACCCATTACCCCTTGTCCTTTCATTGTTTGCCACTGAGAAGAGCCTGGCTCCATCCTCGTAACACTCCCCCTTTATATATTTATATACACTAATAAGGTCACCCCTCAATCTCCTCTTCTCCAAACTATAGAGACCCAGCTCCCTCAGTCTTTCCTCATAAGGGAGATGCTCCACTCCCTTAATCATCTTAGTTGCCCTGCGCTGGACTCTCTCCAGCAGGTCCCTGTCCTTTTTAAACTGAGGGGCCCAGAACTGGACACAATATTCCAGATGAGGTCTCACCAGGGCAGAGTAGAGGGGAAGGAGGACCTCTCTCGACCTACTAACCACCCCCCTTCTAATACACCCCAGGATGCCATTGGCCTTCTTGGCCACAAGGGCACAGTGTCGGCTCATGGTCACCCTGTCGTCCACCAGGACCCCCAGGTCCCTCTCCCCTACACTGCTCTCTAACAGGTCGTTCCCCAGCCTATACTGGAACCTGGGGTTGTTCCTGCCCAGATGCAGGACTCTACACTTTCCCTTGTTATATTTCATCAAGTTATTCCCTGCCCAGCTCTCCAGCCTGTCCAGGTCTCTCTGGATGGCAGCACAGCCTTCTGGCGTGTCGGCCACTCCTCCCAGCTTAGTGTCATCAGCAAACTTGCTGATAGTACACTCAATTCCCTCATCTAAATCGTTGATGAATATATTAAATAATACTGGCCCCAGTACCGACCCTTGAGGCACTCCACTAGATACAGGCCTCCAACTAGACTCCGCCCCATAGACTACAACTCTCTGGCTTCTCTCCTTCAGCCAGTTCACAGTCCACCTCACTACCCAATCATCCAGACCACACTTCCTCAATTTAGCCGCAAGGATGCTGTGGGAGACCGTGTCAAACGCTTTACCTCTGAGAAGCATTTTTATATGGGTAACCTTGAGAAAAAAAGGCTTTTTTGCTAGTACAAACTCCCCTTCACATTAAAATACTTTGGTCAAATTTATGCCTCATCCATGTAGTAAGTGCAACTTAAATTTTGATTCTGATGAGGGGGGAAAAGCTATTCTGAAGGCCTTCCCAGAACTCACTGATGTGTCTATATCAATGTTCTTTTGCACGCTATTTCTGTGCCTACCCGTACGCTGTCTTTTGACTCAGCTGAACCAGTCTTTCAGATCTGATAATGAAAAGGAGCAAGAGCAGAAAAAACACAGTTCAGGATCACCAGAACTTTCAGCTGTGATCACCTATGCTTTTAAGGCAGAAAATACACGTATTTTTCCAGCTGCTTCAGCAACAACTGAAACACTCTTAACCGGAGAAAAAGCCTGAATATTTTCCTATCATATCATAAAATGTCAAAATTGGTCAAATTTAACCTGGACTATCTTCTACATGGAATCACCTAACATTGAAAAGCAATGCGATTAGCATTTGGCTATTCATAGCATCAACGGGAAAAGAACCTGGAGCTCCATGACACCAGTGCACAAGCTCATTTTCCCGCTCGATTGTCTCTCCCAGCTCAGGAGGCCAGTTGCTATTCTGTTCTTGGTCCATAAGAAAATCAACACTCTGCCACACAAGTTCCTGATCTGCTGGCTGCAGGTACTCATAATAGGAAAGTAACATCTGAAGGATTGATGAAAGCCCATGAGCTGCACCTGTAAAGAATAGAAACAGTCAAATTAGAGGGTAGGTTTAGATCCTGCCTCCACCTCACAGCAACTTTCCCTTGGGACTGATTTCCTTGTCAAGTGCGTGGCTCTTTCGTTTTCTTTTATTCCAAGTAGTGCTTGGAATAAAAGCTTTCTAAGTGCAAGACACTGATTTGTTACTACTTCTTTCATTTCCAGTTTCCCTACCTATGCAAAAATAGGTATGAATTTTTTCTGCTCTCACTCTGATATTTAAAGAAGAGATTCAGAGCAGCCCTGCGAAGAAGGACTTGGGGGTGCTGGTCGATGAGGAGAAAATGGACATGAGCCAGCAGTGTGAACTTGCAGCACAGAAAGCCAACCGTATCCTGGGCTGCATCAAAAGAAGAATGACCAGCAGGTCGAAGGAGGTGATCCTGCCCCTCTACTCTCCTCTTGTGAGACCTCACCTGGAGTATTGTGTGCAGGTCTGGTGTCCTCAACATAAACAAGACATGGAACTCTTGGAACAAGTCCAGAGAAGGTCCACGAGGGTGATCAGGGAACTGGAGCACCTCCCGTATGAAGATCGGCTGAGAAAGTTGGGGCTGTTCAGCTTGGAGAAGAGAAGGCTGCATGGAGACCTCATAGCAGCCTTCCAGTATCTGAAGGGGGCCTATAGGGATGCTGGAGAGGGAGTCTTCATTAGGGACTGTAGTGACAGGACAAGGGGTAATGGGTTGAAACTTAAACAGGGGAAGTTTAGGTCGAACATAAGAAGGAAATTCTTTTCTGTTAGGGTGGTGAGGCACTGGAATGCGTTGCCCAGGGAGGTTGTGAATGCTCCATCCCTGGCAGTGTTTAAGTCCAGGTTGGATGAAGCCTTGGGTGAGATGGTTTAGCGTGAGGTGTCCCTGCCCATGGCAGGGGTTGGAACTTGATGATCTTAAGGTCCTTTCCCTAACTATTCTATGATATGACTTAAAATCCATGCGCAAAGTTAAATTGAACCTAAACTGAATACTATTTCAAGACATTATTCTTCTTGACAAACTACTGACTCTAGACCATTATTTTGAAGTCTTTATTGAACCCAAATTGACACTGGACTGTAAATGGTATTCCTAGTTGCTGAACAGACAGTATCAGTCAGCTAAAACCTAAATTTCAGTGCAAGAATTGTCTGCCAGGTCTGTGGAGCAGCACCACTCATTGACTTCTCCCCTGCCAGAGAACTCATTAAGATCTCAAATCAATCTTATACTTTCTGCAGTGTGATATTGTGTCTTGAGGACCCCACTAGGGATCTGCTCAGTGATCTTTCACCACTGCTTCAGATGAGCTACAGCTAAGCTGCTCAGGATGGGTAGGAGCTGATCATAACCTTGAGTTGCACTACTACAGCCAAAAATGCTCTGCAAGTCCCTGCGTGGCAACAAGAGCTTACAAATAACATCACAGAATCATACACTGAAAGCTCTCTCTGGTAACCTTCTGCACACAGGCATGGTCACCACACCTCTCACTGTCTCCATCCAACAAAGGCATATTTACCCTTAAAATAAGCTGCTGCCTGCTGCTTCCCTGGAGTGGCACAGGTACCCCAGCCTTCCCCAGTGTTAGGCAGCATCAGTACTTCCTTCCAGCTCCTTAGTCCCAGTTAGCAGTTTTAGGAGTTTAGATGGCCCCAAATCAGGAAAAATCCTACACTGTGTGTTTTACATATTTTATTTCTGAAACGTTGACTGCCTCAGCATCTATGCATAGCATCAGTTTCAAAGTAGTCTGTGTGTTTTACTCACCAAGGTACTCCGTTCCATAGTACGAATACATGAGAGGGAATGGTTTCCGCTTCTTCACTGCATACTGCTTTCCCGATTCTAGTATGGCCAGGCAAATTGATTTTATTTGTGCTGGGGTCAGCACCTAAACAGAAACATGAAACCAAACATCAAGTCCATTATAATAATTTTATTTTTAGACATTTTTTAGGACTCTGCTTTTTTGCTGGTTCACAAGGTACTGCCTTTAATCTTATAAGCATGCCATAATGTGTATCATTATTAAAAGTTTCTTACCTTAAACAGTAAAATTACATAATGTTTCTTAAAAAAAGAGTTTCATCCTGTCTCAGGAAAGCAAATGCCACATCTTTAGGTGAAAAGAGGCTCACTAAGAGCTCCTGCCTTTCCTTCCCAGAGATCCATCAGTCTGATGGAAGCTGACAACAAGCAGCAGGCAAGCTACAGAACAACCTCCAGAGTGGAGGAAGAGACATTAAGAGAAGACAGTGGAAAAGAGACCTAGAGAAGAAGTGTTACAGGCATATTGGAACAGATTTTTTCTGCAGACAGAAAAGAGAATGCAAGGAAGAGGGTACTAAATTTTACTGAAAATCACAACTGCATATGTGGGTTTAGAAACATCTTGGAACAATCAGGCTTTCTTATTTCAAGAAAATGCTACGAAAGCTGAAGCGCAAGACAGGTTTCTATGAAGGCAGACTAACTACGTTTATAAGACTTTATTATCATGAACAGGTCAACACTGCCTTTAATGCAGTCCTAAGAAATGGCTAATGCCTTACTCTTAGTGGTGTCAAATGTAATTAGGACTTGAAAATAGTATATTTCACCCGAAAAGAACTTTTCCAAGTTACTGACCTAAAGAATTCAGACAGGAATTGGTCTTATAGGGTTTAACTACAGCTTTAATTATATGCAATTCACTACAGTCAGTGGCAATTTCCTCTGTGTCAACCACATCTGTACATTACTGACCTATACCTAGGTCATTTAAATCATTTAGTTGAAGTATGGTTTTGGCTTTAGGTGAAAACCTGTACGGCAGCTGTACTTTGCAAAAATATATTTCAACTTTTGAAATGAGAACTGAGAAAGGAAAAAAGTAAAATGAAGCAGAAGAAAAAAAAAATACGTAGAAATAGGCTTGACAAGATAAATAGTAATCCTAAACCTAACCTTGAATATCAAGGTAATGTATTTAAAATGTTTCTGAAAACATTTGGTTTTGCTATAATTTGTGTTATAATAAGATTTGCAATTACTTCTTCAAGTTTAAAAGATTCTGTTAGCATTAAGTATGGAGACAACATCTGTTATAAACCATATTGTCTCATTTGGCATGTAAAAGATGCTATGGATAATTAGTATCACTTAGAACTTGACTGAAAACTAATGGCTGAAAAATCTTGTCTATCTTACTTTGCTCCCTGTTAACAAGACATTTTATTACAGCTGCTTCAAATGCCTATGATATTTGTATAACCTGGAGAACAGCCTACTTCTGATCTTGATTAAAGATCTTTAATGTTACTGCAGTAGAAGTAAATAAGCCTTTAACATCTGGAGACTTCACTCATTTCCAGTAATTTTTAAATGAATTGTTTCATCTTCAATAAAGAATTTAATTCCTAAGCAAATGAGAGCAGAGACTATGAGAGGCGGTCCATTCTCTCCAGAGTTCTTATTTTACCACCTTGCAGCCTAGAACCTAATCCTGCAAATTCTGTACTTTGTAAAGAATTTGTAAGGTAACCCTTTGAAAATCAATGTGAATGATAAGCTCTCCTAGCTGTAATTCTGGAAGGCAAAGGCACACTCTTTAGAAAAATCTTAGTCAGTTCAGTTGCTTAAAAAATGAACTGTCTCTCGATACCACGTTTTGTGAAGCTTATTTTTATGTTCAGGGCATTTAGTTTTCAAATTCAATTAATGGCTATTTTAAAATGCCGATTATGTATTTTAAATGGATTTAAACTTCTACTCAAATCCAGCCTTGTACAATAAAGAAGTATCGGCTAGCAAGAAATGAATTGTTCACCATTTTTTAATATAAAGTAAGTGTAAAGAGTCATACACTTAATCACTATGATTACTCAAGTACATACATAGTATACCTTTCTGGCTGGCATAATGAAATATGCTAACGATATCACCTTTTTTTTTCAGAATGCAAAGAAAGCCTACATGCTAAGCCAGACAAAAAATGATATTTAAAATCACTATTAGAATGGATGATAGAAACAAACCTACGCTGACCCACTTCCACATTACCAAAGAAAATGGAAAAGAAAGTAACCTGTGTATCTTGAAAGCAACTTTCTTCTTGGCCACTTGGATGGGCCTGAATGCTTAAGGCAGGTAGGAGATGTGTCCTAACTAATAACTAAATGCAAAAGTTTTTGTGCTGACTCCAACTATCTCTTGCCTCAATCCACAGTCACTGTAGGGCTGCTGAGTGTTTTCAACAAAAATATGGAGCATTTGTATTTGCTTCTTATTCTAGGAAATGGTTGGCTGGAACAGAAACCCTCGTTTACTGTCATTATTAGTGGCCTCCCAAAGGCTGACTGATCAGAAATCATACTTAAGATCCCCACTGTCTTGCTACACTGTATTTCAACCAATTCTGTTTTAAAATCCCCTCAGATTTTTCACCTTGCCAAGAAATAACATCTCTGGCTAGTTTCTGTATGCTACCTCACAGTATCTTTAAGAAAGCAGCTAAAAGCTTATGCCCAAGCCAACAATAACAGAATACATTAATCATAACTACAGCTGGTTTGACAAAGTTCATTTTAATTTCACTGTAGTAGCAATGCCTCTTTGCCCCTGTGAATTATTGAAACAATATGTTTAATTAGGGACAGCAAAGAAACAGAGTGATCATGCCAAAGGCTTTAAAAGGATAAATCACAAATTGGTATCATGTTGTCTAGTGAACACTGTCAGATGCTTTGATGAAGGATAAAGCCAAAATGAGAATATGCTACCCAGAAATAATTTCATGCTTGAGATAGCTATATATATATATATTTATATTTCTTGAATGTCATTTAATATGAGCTGGCTACACAGTAGGTAAAATTATTCTTTATCATGTCAGTACTTGGCCAAAAGACTACTGACACTAAGAAATATACTGCTGATGGTTTAATATTTCAGCTCTTTTTGTATTTTTAAAGACACCACAACCTGTCCTATCACATTAGAAGTGTTCATTAGCCTCCTCACTAGATCAAGGGTTGCAATGCATGCATTCCTCATTTCCCCTGCAATTTCTGTATCTGTTCAGCAGCACTTTAATGCTTAGTATTTGTACTACTGCCTGTGCCTAGAAGCCCTACTTACAGTTAAAAAGCCACCGTGTTTCCAAAGTCTCTCCATTTTTCTCTTGTGCTACTGCAGTCAATATGCCTTCTCCCATTAAGGCACTCCACAAATCTGTGAATTATTTAAGGCAGGTACTTTATCCAGTAAATCCCTGTAAAAAGTCAGGAAGGAAGTGCCATGTCTACAGTAATCACAGAACATCATCTTTTGTTAGCAATCTTATTCAACCTTTAGATTGTTAGAAGTAAATAATTTCACATCTCCTTTCAATCTCCTGAGATTTTGTAATATATTGGTTATGACAGTGCTAGGCCCTAGATACGTTTTCAGAACTTTAGACAGAAATCTTGACCCTGAGGACTACACTGAAAGCAGCAGGACAAGCTCTTTGCTGTCAATTACAGTAAAATTGTCAGCACTTCATCATTCCTCTGAATGTCTGCTACAAGGCCCTTGGCTTATAATTTGCCTTAGGAAAACTACTGCTACATAGGACTCCATACTGTACTGAGGATATTTGAGGACTGTAAGCTCTTAATTCTTTTAGAAGATTTGTATTTATTTTCTTAGAGCTCTTTCCTGTATGTAACAGAAGGCATTACTGAATACCACGTATCATTATCTTTTTATTGATGCATCAGTACTTTAAGGAGGTTAACATTATTGTGGGAAAAAACTCCCTCTGTGCATGGAAAAAAAAAAAGTATCTAACACATAAAACCTCTCTGCCACACTTCAAAAAAGCCATTTACATGAATTTGATCATACACTTTCTCTGATGCTGCAGTAAGTGTCAAAATAAGTTCCAATAACCTAACAGAAGCTTTGCCATTAGTCTCCTATGCTGGAAGGCCAGCAGAGGGAGCTTGTGTATTAGTTCAAATACTCAAGAGTGCTGTAGAAAAGCTACACAATTCTGTGTTCAGCAGGACAGCTGACTCAAGCAAAGGTGCCGAAGCCAACTTGGTAATTCAAGGATACCTTACTGCACTGCATGATACTTAAAGTTCACTCCTTAATTTATTTTGTTTTTTCTACCAAAGATGGGGCTGAAATTGTTCAGGGACTTTTCCGTGCAGTCATGGAGAGGTTTTTTTCCTTTCAGATGATGCTAACGCTTGAAGCCATGGAAGACTAGCATGTAGAAAGACAGTGTTCTGTCTCCCTTTAGACTTACTCCAGTTTGATTGATGTACCTCTCCTGCAGCACACTGAGAAAACCAACTCCAGGTGCACAGCTGTCTGCTTTCCTTACAAGCAGTGCTACATTCACCCTTCTTTTAAAAAGTGAGAAATAAATATTTTTCTTAAATCTCCTGAAAAGTTTGTTCAAGGAATCAGATTAGTTTCTGGAGTACTACTGACATTGTTCTAATGCAGTGTGTTTCATGCTGTAACAGTACTTTCTAGAGAGCATACTTTTCCAAATTTCCCATATTAACACAACTACATGGCAATGTGTGTAGACTCAGCACAACTACTAATATGATTGTGCCAGTTCACTGGAAAATGGTACTAGACTGCAATCTTGAGTAAAACAGATTTCCCTATACATCCCATTGTTATTGCTTCTTTTTAACATGTAAATCTGGGGGGTTTTGAGGCTTGCTCTTTCTTTGCCTCAGCAACATGGAAACAGCAATGTCAGTCCTGTCCTGTTACTGGTAAAGAAGACAATACAGCACTTTTTTTATTGCTAAGAGAGAACAAAATTTCCACAGGTCTCACTTGCCAGGACTGTGTAGCATAAAATCCATCAAATTCCGCTGTTAAACCTGTCCTTGAAAAGGAGAAAATTTCAAACATGACTGCAAATTAAGTGTATTAGAAAAGGATGCAGCACAACTGTTACTGTACCTAGGAGGCTGCCTGAGAACAGCTGGTGCTGTTACACAGTTGGTCAAATGCAATGAGCATCTCTTTTCATTCTGTCCCAAACACTGGAGAGTTTGAAGAAAAAACAGCAATTGGCCTTTCTTAAAGTCCCCCATTCTGGGCCAATGAAGAGACAGGAAAAACATTAGGTTCTCCAGTTACACCCACGCCCCAACATCTTTCACTCAGTTGCATCAGGGTCCGATTGGGTACAGATACCCAGTTCTAATATAGTGGCTCTACTAGGTCTTAGGAAGGAAACAAGAGGTCCCCATCACATTCTTTACCTGAAGAAAGTAAGGAAGCACAACCCCTTGCTCTCTGCTGCTAGAGAACTGAAGAAGGATGTCAAGGAACAGATCTAAGAGCAGAGCAGTTCAGATAACCAAACTGACTGAAGAGGTAACAGCCCGCCTATTGAGAGCTTAGGTGCTGGTCAACCTCAAAGACAGCAGGGAATCCTTCAGGAGGACGAGTCCCATCACAGAAGAATTGAGGTACCCAGGGATGCACTCCTGTGTTATGCTTTCAACTGGCAGCTGTCTGCACCCCAGCTGCATGTTTTCTTCTGCCTATTAGAGAGTTAGGGTTACCACAGAAAGCCAACAATTTAATTTCAAACATCTCTCCCTAGAATTGCACCCAAATTCAAGAGCATGAATTGAAAAACATGTTTAAAAATAGCAAAAATATAACACTTGCAAATTAACTGAGAAACAAACCCAACACTGCTTGGAGAAGCTTTTTTCTACATTACAGAATTCAACCCCAGCTTTTTTCAACAAACGAGAAAGATTCTTCTTTCCTTTATTATTATTATCATTCATCGGCTGTATAATGCATGGCTGAGCCATTCTGGGGGCACAGAGCCTGGGAAGTGGCCAAAATGGATGCATCAGTGATCAACTTTCTGCAATTCAAATCCCTGTTTGGAGCTCCTGTGTGTCAAACCATGCATACACCAGACGTTGGGGCAGTTTATGACAGCTGAAAATGAGTCAGAGATTAGTGCTGCATGGATACTGCTTTTCTTCCATCTACACTCCCCACATACGTAGGTGGAAGATTATTCATGTAAAAACTTCATCAGTGGGAAATCCTTTGACTCTGTTTAGTCTCAGTCAGAAAGTACATCAGTATAAAAGTGCTGTTGTTAGCTTATGCCAAAACTGCAGTGCAGAGCTGTCATCTCCTGGTGGGAGATCTATCCTTCTGCACTCCAAATACATGTCCCTGATAATTCTGCATTACAGTGATAAACATCTTCCAAGCTGAACACCTTGCACTCTTGTCTGGGTAACAGGCTGCCCATTGTGTTGTATCTGTACTGCCCCAGGATCCCATTCCGTTTTTTACACTGGTAAGCATGGAACATCTGCTCTGCCCCTGTGCTCTGGATCAGCTCACTTCCCCTTAACAGCAGGTCTGCTGGTTCACTGGAAGTGAATTCATGTTCTCATCTGTTCCAGAGACATATCTGGTTGTAGCAAAGCTGCCCTGTTGTTATAACTGGTTTATGTATGCAACTAATGGAGAGGCGTAAGAAGTATTATCCATTCTTCCAGCTCCTGAGCAGCAGGAAGCAGGCTTTATGAAACAGACTTTGACAATATAAAACTATATAACAAGGTGAGTCTCCCCATACTCTGCAGTAGCCATGTTTTTAGTCTGAACTCAAAAAAATCATGCAAGTCCCCTTCAATTGGGCACCACCATTTGATACCAGGAACTTAGGCAGACTGCTCCTTGGAAAAATGCATTTATTAGTGTTTGTATGTGTCTTCAGGTCAACATGAAATGGTCAGAATTTGGTCGAGTCAGTCAGTAAAAGCTAATACTTTTCACAGGGAGGCTGACCTAGGCTTGGAGTTCTACAAATGCAAATGGAAAGTGTATATAGCAACTGAACAAAGTCGATAACCCATGTTTTAAGATGTCTTGAAGATTTTAGAAAGAACTGGGCACTTCTATTCCTTCATTCCTTTACTTCCTCTAGAAACAAGAACATTTAGCATCTGACAGGGCACTGATCTAATAAATTGTAATGTGTTTACTTCTGGACCTCTTAAGATTATG